CAGAAGTAGGTGTCAAGCCTCTCATTGTTTATACTGCTCGCAAGCCATCCATCTTTGCCTCCTGTCACCTTATTCACAATCGATACCAAGAGACTGCTAAAGAAGAAACCAAAGGACAATGCGCTAACGAAGAGGCCTGTGCTCATAGTTTTCATTCCTTTAGGCGATTCGGTTATGAAGAAATCAAGCTGGCCAGTGTATACGAAAGCATTAGCAGAACCCACCAGAATGAACTGTGGGAGGAAGAAGAAAACACTAATATGCAGAGGATTTGATCCACCATTGGCTTTAGCAACTGCTAACCTCTTCCTCTCACATATTGCTGCTGCTCCCATCCCAATAGTTGATAGCACAAGCCCAATTGCCATTCTCTATAGATGGGTGAAACCTATTGCATGCAGATAGAGATGGATAAATGCATACTGAGTCTTTTACACACTTAACTTTGCCAAAATTAGTAATCAGTTTGTTGTGGAGTATTTACTTGTTCAAATTAGTAATCATTTCATAGCCTCATCAGTACGTATTTACTTAATATGTACAAGTAGTTTATATAAATTGAACAAAGGCTTTAAACAACAAACAGCTTAGTAACAACACGTAGTCTTTACCTGCTTTAACTACTTGTACAGAACAGGCCAAAACATAAGAAAACTACTTGTACATATTAAAAACAACAGTTGCAATTGCTTGATTGATTCCATCTCATGTACAACTTCATCCTACTTTTGGAAAGAGAGTGAGAGAGAGGAAGACAAATTTGAAGGACAAACCCAATCCAAGCCAAACACTTAAGCTTATCTGATGTAATTATCTCATGTTTATTCCTTGTAAATCTCTTCCTCTTATCTTGATAGAGTTATATCTCTATCTAATCTCTTTCTACTGGTTACAAGTGTTGATCAGTACAAAGAGACTAGATAAAGATATAAGAGGAAGAGATTTACAAGGACTAAACGTGGACAACATATTTGTCCAAATTCGTTCATATCTGAACTGTGTAATATATATTCATCTACGAATACCTATATTTTTATTTTCACCGGTACTTTTATCATGTTCCTAATATAGGCAGTTAATATGAGATTATTATGCTAATTCAAGTTGAAACTTTCATCACTGCGTTATTAAAATTGCCACATGTTATTTTTATGTGGGGTTGTAGCAGTGGCTTTCATGTCATTTTGATGCATGTATATATACATTTACACTTGTAGTACACGACACACTTGAAATAATCACACCCTCATTTCTATTAAGATTCTCAAAGCAAACATAAATTAATGAACACCACAGAATAGCTAGCACCTATCCTCAGCAGAGGAACCATTAGCTTTAGCAGTAGTAGAAGTCATCTGCAAAGCAGGTGGATGCTGTTCGTGTGTCTTGTACCACCTTGCACAAACAAGATAAACTACAAAATTGATTACGCTTAGAACGGTCAAAAATCCATAGAAACAATCAAGCCTCCCATAATTTATATTGTCTGTAAGCCATCCTTGCTCATCTTTGCTTCCTGTCACCGCCTTCACAATCGAAACCAAGAATCTACTAACAAAGAAACCAAGGGATAAAGTGCTGAGGAAGAGGCCTGTGCTCATAGTTTTCATTCCTTTGGGTGACTTGGTTATGAAGAAATCGAGCTGGCCGGTGTATATGAAAGCTTCACCAGAACCCACCAGGAAGAATTGTGGGATCAATAAGAACACACTGATAGGCAGAGTTTTAGTGGTGCCTCCCACTGCTCTAGCAACTGACAACCTCTTCCTCTCGGATAATGCTGCCACTGCCATTCCAAATTGTTGATAGGACAAGGCCAATTGCCATCCTCTGTAGATTGGTGAAACCTATCGCAAAGAGAAAATGTTTTCAAGAACTGCAGTGTAATTTATTCTTGTATGTACTTGCATTCAAGATTGTTATGTAAAGTAACAATCAAGGGTAAGAAAATCATCATATTATCATAAAACTAAGATTGCCATTAGTATTTTTTTCTTAGTAGAAATAATCATGTACCTGGTTGGCCATTCCATTTCATCCAAAGAGGCATGATGAGACGGTCATAGAAAGCCAGAGTGATCATTATGGCTAGCACAAAGAAGACTGTAAGAGAGCCGGCTGGGATTTGAAATTTTCCGATTGACCTCTGCATGGTGGATGCTTGTTCTACAGAGAAGGTGATCATCTGTGTATGGGCAGTCCAAAACATGATGGTTGTGGCCCATATTGGAACTAGTCTTGCCATCATTTTCACCTCCTCCACCCTTGTAACTGACCGTAGCTTCCAAGGGTTTGGGGAAAGGGAACCTGCAGCATTTCTCTCCTCAAAATCTCCTTGTGCCAGAATAGCAGCCTTGTCCAAGAAACTATCCAAAAATTGAACCACATAACATGAAATGCAAGATATCAGGCAATCGAAGATTTGTGGCAAAAAGAAAAGAACAAAGAATAAAGAATAAAGAATAGTCCATGTAATCTTGCAGAGCAAGCCTGCTCAGTAACCAATAACCCCACTTCATCATTTCCCATAAAATAAATACTGAACTTACCGGAACTGATCAGTGTGATAAATTCTTGAAGCCTCAGGAGAATTCTCATACAATGAGTTTGTATCAACTGGACTGGTCATCTTTCTCTTCCTTATAGCAGCCACAATAACATGCAAAATTTGAACTATGGGACTTCCCTAGCTTTTCTTGTATCTGTATCTTCTAGTCCCAGCCAAAAATAGTAAGATGGCCATAAACATTGAAATGGAACATACTCCATAGGCCAAGCTCCGATCCACCTCATCTTGTATGTAGACAAGGATTGTGACTGCGACCAAAGTTCCTGTGCTAATGAAGAGGAAAAACCTATTGAAGAAATAGGCCATCTGGGCTTTCTCTTTGTCATCTTTCTCGTAAAATTAGTCAGTTCCAAATCCTGAAACACTTGATTTCAACCCACCAACCCCTAGTCCAATTGTGCATAAAGCCAGGTAAAAAATTCCCATTTGGAACCCGTTGGCTTGCTCGCAGTTGATGTTGGCAGCAGTAGCGTGACAAAGAGGCGGCCGTAGCTGTGGCAGTTTTACTGATATTGCTAATGCAACCATGCCCTGCATCAGAATTATTTGATTTAAGATTAGATCACAGTTAATTATTATGGAGCACAAGAAGAAGGCAATGGTTAGAACATATCACCAAGAAACTTAAGAGAAACATATATAGTATACCATGATCATGGTGGATTAAAAAACCTTTTCATTCAAAAAAAGAAAAAAGAAAAAGAAAAGATGCATGTGCATACACCAATAATAAAATGGACATAGTCTAAAAAACAAACCAGTGTTTGTATTGAAGCAAAGATTGCAATAGTGTTGTATCTGGCAAGAAAGGAATCGGCCAGGAAGCCTCCAAGCAAACACAGGAGAAAGGATGTTCCCACAAAATCTGTGACAATATTGGCTGAAGTTGAACTTGGCAAATGCATTGTTCCAACTAGGTATGTCGCCAGATTAACTCCGATTCCCATGGTTGAAAGCCTTTCGCATATTTCAATTCCTATACAAAAATAATGAATTTTTTTAATTAGGTTGCCATATAGTTGAAATAAGCAAAAGGGTTATTTGAGTAATTGGCAAGAGAATTGTTTTCATGCATTTGTGCTGCCGAATGTGCTGATTATGGAATATTATTTTGTCCAGAAATAGAATGTTTCCCTCATTGATTAAACATGTTACGTACAACCCCTAAAACCCATCTCTCACCCCCAGCCATCACCTTTGCATGAACCTCCTACTCGAACTCGATCACAGTTAAGCTGTACTAATTAACTGATCAAACTACCAACACCACTTCTGATCAAATATGATCACTGACTGATTCATAAGGAATTAACTTCGAAGTTAACAAGCTATAATGATTGTGAATAAATTCTTCAATCACGAAAGCAAGAGCGTATACCTAATATAAGCGCGGCCGCCACCCAACCGCCAGTTCTGGACTTGTCAGCAGGGAACCCTTTGTAGTCCACAGCATCGGCAACAGTCCAACTCATTTTCCCGTCCTGAGGAAAACAGACATTAATGTCTTCAATTTGCATGTGTTTATATAAGAGCGGAAGAAGAAATATTTCAACTTGCATTAGCAACCAGGATATCGAGTATACATCTCAGAAACGAAACTGAATACCAACCATTTTCTAAAGTTTCAACAGGGAAATGACCACGAAAATACCAATGCTGATAAAGAAAGCTGGGAAACTGAACTGAAGGTGTTCTACTCACAAATTGGATTTGTCCAAGTCTTGGGAGCCACCCCTTTTATAGGCAGGCAGAGAGCCTAACCTAAACCAATGTTACACACAAATTGAAGTGACCTCCCCACTGCAAGTTCGAGATTGATGCATGTTCTGATAAAGGTAGAGAAGAGATTAAGCTTATCCCATTTGATGGGTGGAAGATTCTAGGGCTCATTAAAATTGTGTTTTATTTAGATATATAAACTGGAAATTATTGTAAAAATAAATATAAAGGTGGGATGGTGATTGAGAAAGTATATAAGAGAAAAATTTGGAATCTGGAACTTTGGCACACCCGTGGCGTTTTGCGTCTCATGATCTCTGATAAGTGACGGATATGTTTTGGTTGTGAAGACGATTGTGAACCACAGCAAAATATGCACCTACCGAGGCCTTTGTAATTCTAAGTGCTTTTGCTGCCCCACAACCAAATCCTCCTCTCCATGTATATATTGTTTATTGTATTGTCTCTGTTAGGCATTTGATTGATTACAATATATAATGATGATTTTTTCTTCTTCTTTTCTGACATGAAAATTAAAAGGTTATCAAATTGTGTATGAAGAGTTTTTAAAAGATGTCTCAGTTTGACAAATATTATATACAATGCATGTTCACACACAGCAGCACCACCAGGCACCATCAACAGACAGCACTGAGTTTGTGAATTTGATCAAGTATACCCACCGGCCATTAGGGTAGCATCACATGAGGTATTTCAGATATGAGAAACCCATAACCAGACAAACCCTCTTGTGGTTCACAGGCCCATGTAAGAAGGTTTATTACATTAAACCTACTAAAGTGATCTTCTAATCAAATTAGGATTACTAAGACTTATTGTTTATTAGGAACTCAAAACCTATCTCGATTAGGCAAGCCTCAAACAGTGTTCAATAAGGATAATGAAGGCTTAAGGGTTCCTAGTTCTACAAGGATTGAAATGGATTAATCCTATAGCATGAAGGATATCTCTAAGTGTTTCTTGATGGGCAAGACACTTAGAGAGATGCTTATAAATAGAAGGCTCCCTCCTAGATCCGAATAACACAACACAGCTAAACAGAAATTCACCCATCAGAGT